GATCCAAACTTTTCAGCTGAAAAGGTGTTGCATAGACAAGTCATTTTGTGATAGTTCTGTTCACGTGACAGCTGCAATAAGCACCAGCACAGTGTAACTATTTTCTCTGACCTATACTTTGGCACTATGTGAGCAGTAGTACCTGTAGGACATGCAGGGAAGGCTGGGACACGTGCTTTGAGCTACCTGGCTTCACAGAGCATGGGATGGAGGAGGATATGCTCTGGTGCTAGGGTTATAGTCTCAGGTCCTGCATAACAAGAAAAAGTCAAAATCTGGTTGCTGAAAGATAGTACCTCTGACAATGTTCCTGAGGTTAGTAATCTGTTACAGGCTTGGGTGCTAGCTGTGCTAACCGGGTGGTTATCTATGTCCCTGTGATGCATTGACCAGAAGGCTAGGGCTGCTACCTTGTATTTCAGCATCTCCCATACTCTCCTATTCTTGATCCTGCCTCCAGGTTCTCACCTTTGCTTTTACTTGTAATAATTTTTAGCCTAGTAACTTGGGAATTTCTGATCTGCTTAAAACTTTGTCTAGCCAGTCCGTCTTATGTGAGTAGTCTTCTGAATTTTAGTCTCGCCACACTGAAAGAGTCCTAAAGGACACTGAACAGTGGACCTTTAATTTGCCAAGGTGCTCTTTAAAGTTGAAGAGTTGTTTACAGCCAAGTTGGAAAGGAATGTCTCCCATGTGAGGTTAAAATACCTGTGGAGGCTCCGTCTGGCAGGCTGCAGGGCTAGCCACCTCCAAGGAGTTCTTTAGGGGTGCAATTAATAGTGCTTTCCTTAGTAGTCCCTTATCATTCCCTTTGTAAGAGATTTTGCGTGCACTTAATCTAAGCTTTTAGTAACCAAGAAACACTCTTCCAAGGATTGATTGCTTGCCCCTAATTACCTTCACAACGCAGGCCAGAAGTTAAAGATGAACTGTATCTTTGGAGACATTCCCTCCCTCTGAGTGAAGGCAAAGTCTCCCAGTACAGAGGTAGTCCGTGCCCATTGGAAATTCCTGAAGTTAATTGAGGCAGAAATGTCTGGGGCAGGGTGTGGTGCACCAGCCCCAGGGCCACCCGGCCTGGGGCCATCCCTCCTGCTCCTGCCCTGCACAGCTGTTCCCAGTCCCCCATCAGGTCTGGCTAGGTGTGTGCATCAAATTACTTCTCTGCAGCTGTTGTTGGCCCTGAGCTCACGGGGAAACCTCTGACGGGAACTAAAAGGGTCTTAAATAAGTTTGCAACCAGCCAGAGCCCTTACCGGTTACAGGTGTCTTGTAACCATGCAGATGTCTCTCTTAGTAAATGTTCAGAAAGTGGTTTGCTCTTGCTAGAGACCTGTACTAATGCAGGGCTGCGAGGTTCATGGGTTTGTTTCTCTGCTCTTGGCAGGGTTGACTAGACCTCCTGATTCAGTGGTCCTTTGTCCCTTCGGGTGGCAGGGTGCCAAATGTTCCTTTCCCCCTTGTGCTGATGGTGACATGCCATTGATGTATGCATCCTGTGCTGTGTTTGTGCTAAAGCTGTGTGGTGCGATGGTGTGTGTGGTGCTCTGTGTTCTCGTGAAAATACAGGACCGGCTTGGTCTACAACCTTTGCAAACAGACTTTGGTTTGTTCCCAGATATTTAGGGGACGGGGAAAAAAAAAGGAAGAGATTTGCTTTTGGAAAGGTAGACCAACCACTTAAGGTGAAGATTTATTTTGAAGGCTTTGCTGCGAACGACTGTTTCTTGAAGGAGAACAGCTCTGTGGGTTTAAATATCAAGAGTTGAGGCAGTGAGGAAGGCTGGCACTGTGTGCTGCTTGGAGGCAGTACTGACTGAGAGGTATGGTAGGGAGAAAGCAGCTACACGAGTGACCTGATAGGAGGGGAGCTGCTGGAGCAGGGGTGGCAAAGAAAGGGATGATGAGTTCAGAAGAACTGTCTGGGAAAATAGCTTTTGTGGATAGCTGTTTTCACAAACTACCACCAGCTAATAGTTGGGTGGTGGTGAGGCAAAATAGTGTTTAGGAAGGGTAGGGAAAAGTACAGAGCAGTGGTCAAGGCTAAGTCCAGCTGTGCAGATGAGTAGCTGAATGGTGTCCATGGATTTAAGATACTGGGCAGAAAAGATCTGGGTAATTAACATGTAGATATATGCAGCTGCCTGGATGAAGGGTGGTACTGGGTTACAGGTGCTGGGGAAGACTGTGTAACGGTCTTGTGCCCAATAATCATGAAAGAAGGTAGGTGAAGCAGGGAAAGGGGTAAGCTTAGCTTTAAGTTGCCCTTGAGCTGGCAGCTGAGCATCTGTGAAGAGATCAGTAAGAAATTCTCAATAAGAGATTGCATGGGACGTGTGTCTCATGAACCGAAGTTGATCTGAGAGTGATGGGGACAGAGGAAGAAACTGAATTTGTCTTCTGAGTAGATGCAGAAGAGAGAAAAGTGTTGTCACGATCTGAACATCACAGACCGCTGGAGAGGGTTGGAGGGGTTGCAAAGGCTGTTCTTCAAATGAAAAGCAGAGACATGAAGCATTGTGTCCAACAAACATGAAAAAGAAGGAGAACCACTGGGTTTCTTTGGGGAGAGAAACTAATCTATGAATTGAGGATAGTAAAGCATGGCTGTATTTTTGTGGAGGAGTGAAAGGGGCGAATACAAGGGAGAAGGGTAGGAGTATGGCACAATGCCAAACAGGAAAAAAGTTTGGGGGAGAAGTTAGTGAAATTGTTTCTGTGACGGGGTTCCTGTGGATTGCAAATAGAAGAGAGGCTGTGTTGCTCTTGTGACTGTCTGTTGGAAAAAAATAGCAAGAGGTGAGCAGGGGACCCAGCAGAACATGAAATCTCACATTTCCCACCAGCTTGATCATTGGGATGGAGCAGAGCTGCTTTGGGGCAAGCGGTTGAAGGGGAGAAGAGAGAACTTGTTGCACAGAATATCTGCTTGGTTGGTGACTAGCGACAACTGGTATGAGACTGGGAGCAGAGCAAGAAAGTGCTGGGTGAGCTGGGAAAGACATTACTGGGGGAGAAAGAGGGAACAGAGAAACACCGACATGAACATGACAGTGGACCTGTGAAGTCCCAGATGAGGTCGGCCAGCACAAAACCATCTATATTCAGTCTTCCCTCCTGCTCTTTCTTGCCCTCTGTTCCTTCTCACTGATAAAGCAGCCCTGATCAGGTCTTCCCCATTTGGAATTCTCGCAGGTAAGCAGAAAATACAGTCTATGCAAGGATGAGGGTGTCTGTTTTTCTTTCTGTTCCTGATTTTTACTTCATGGGAGAAGTAGGTGGCTAACGTAATTCATCTTTATTGCTAAATGTTGCTCTTTGATGTTTTCTTATTACAATAGCTTGAACTCAGAGCCAGCAATAAACTAGAGGGATGGCACCTCATAAACATAGGGCTTCATTTTTGACCCTGTAAATTTTTTGAAACTTAAAATTTAAAGAAAAAAAGTTGGTCTCTTTTGCTTGCAAGTAACTCTTCGATTTCATTTCACAAAATAACAGCCCTCCAAGTAAACAAACCTCAAAATCCTGCTCCCTCCTCTCCTCTGACCTCTCATCCCCCCTGGCCAGGGGAAAAAAAAAAAAAGTGGTTGATTGCTCTTGGTCAGCCTGTGTAAGTTTTGGTCAGCTAGCCGTGACTTTCTTCTTCTTTAACACAACTTTTATCAGAACACTGCCGCTTTTTTTTTTTTCTTCTGATTTTTCTTCGTGTCTGTTTTTGCTCAGGGCTCCTGCCTGATGTATAGTATTTTGTTGGGTGCTTTTTGTCATCTAGCTGCAGACAGCAACTATAGTGGCTGGCTGACACTTCAGAGGATCTTGGGATGGAGCTTATTCTTCGTGAAACAAAGCATACAGTTCTTTCTAGGTTTTTTTCAGTCATAATTAGCTCTGTCTGACTAAATTCTTTTAAGTTCCCTTGGACCCTCCTGTCCTCTGCCTTCTGCAATAGTAGATGCAGTATTTGCGTTAGATAAATAGGTCAGAATCATTTACTTCATTATGGAAAACTAATCTGCTTGTTAAAACTGTTAGTTTATCAAACAGTGTAATACAGTATTGTTCTGGCAGAGACTCTGCTGGCAGACACCAGTCCTTGTGTCTCTTTCTGTGGAGAGCTATACTAAAGATGGATTTTGTGTGTAGTTTAGAAAAGCAGATAGTAATCTTGACTATCTGTGCAAAGCCCTCAGAATTTGTAGTTTCTGGAAGATACGTGGTGCATGTTATCTTGAAATCCTGGCTGAATACAATGCAGAGCACCCAGTCTCCAAGCTGTGCAGTACTGCAAAACCTATTATTACTGTGGTACTCTCTATCAGCCTCATTAGGGATGATGAATGAATGGTCACTGCTGAAGCATTTTTTTCCCCCTCTTCTGAAAAAACCTGCTGACAGTGGTTGCTGCCTGTGTATATGCACAGGGTGAATTAATCAGCTAAACCACTACTACAGTGATACTAACCTTTAAAGAAAAAAACCATCATCCTCACTATCTGCTTAAATCTCTTTTGAAGAGACTCTTCCCTGCTCTTCCTCCACTCTGCAGAATCACCTTGTAGCTCCCTTGCCTTAAAGGGCTGCGTCATGCAAAAAGCACAGGTGAAATCGCTTGCATTTGTTTATCGTTGCCCTGTTCCGAGGTGAAGGAAATTGTCTCTTGGGCTTTCCCGAGGCTGAACGTGTGAACGAGTTAATTTGGCTCTACAGCAGCGTTTGCATCAGACCTCGGCGCCCCGAGTCTGCAAGTGCATCCCTATGGGTGGACTGTTACCCGCACGTCACGCTCCACCGATACAATCGTGCCCAGCTAGTGTGCCCGCGGGGCTTAGGCTGGGACGCCCGGCCCTTTCACCAGCTGCCCTCCTCTCGTGCGGCAACTTAAGCCGAACTTTGCGTCATACCAATGCGTCAATAACCGTCCTCACTGCTTTCCCGCGTCGCTTTCCTGCCAAGCGCGATGCCCCAGCACAGGGCAGGGGTCTGGCTGGTGGTGTGGGATGGGTGTTGTGCTGGCTGGGCTGAGACTGCACGGCATCCGCTTCCTTGCAAGTACCGTGCATGCTAATGGTCCTCAACAAGTTGTCTGTCCGGTAAAAAAGTGGTTACTGGGATTGGCATCCCAATACCCCCGCCCGGCGCTTTTTTGGCTAAAGGAATCCTGTGTTCCTCTTCAGGTGCGCGGAGCAGGAGGTGCAACTCTAAACAAAGCCTACAAAGATCTTGTTCCTGTCCCTTTAGTTTACCATGTAGATGTTAAACTTGTCACTTGAAGATGGTTGCTTCTTGTTTGAATCTAGGAAAAAGAAAACTTTAAGATACTTTTCAAATAAAAAGACTTAGGCTTTTTTTTCAGTTTGAAATGTGCCAGCAGAAGTAAGTTGCCACTTGGATTTTTCTGGAAGGGAGCAGGGTGTGGAGGACAAAGGAGGGCTGGTTTTGCTCCATTGGAACCAGTTGTGGTTTGTTCGGCTTTTGTGCATTTGGATGGGCACTCGGAATTGAAATCCAAACTGGAACTAGCAGTTAATATTACAAACAAGCGGCATAATTTGACTAAACAAGCTTTCAGATGATCCCAACTAGGCTTTGATGCTGAAGAGTGGGATTTTCATAACTGCGGAAGTAATTTGAGAACATGCTTGCACCCAAAGCCAGTTGGGTTGTTTCTTTTTTACTTTTTTTTTCCTTGAGGATGATTATGGTGATGATTCATACTTTTGTTAGTCTCAGCAAAAGAGTGGCTTGCATGTATAGTTGATTTAGCATCTGAGAACCTCTAAGCAAGTCATTCTCCATTTTGAGGAAGAATTGATCTACAGAAAATTCTTTTTTTTTTTTCTTTTTTTTTCTTCTTTGCTTGTTAGTTTTTTGTCTTTTGGTTTCTTGCTCTGTTATTGACTGACTTTGCAAATGAGAACCTCCATGAGATCCTAGTCACAGCTCTCCTTGTTCTTGGATTTGTGGATGTGGTTCCATGCTTTCAGGAGTGAGTTAGCATGGTTTTAGAGGTTCAGTTGATGAACAGTCAGTAGTTTACTACTACTATACAATCTAAGTTATGAAATTAAATGTGCCAGAAAGATGATTTAAGCTACTTAGTTTAACTAGATGTCTGTTTTCACTCTCTTCATTTCCTTGATTACAGAATCTAATTTTTTTCCTCCTGTTCATAATAGCTTGTTTGGTTTCTAATGTCAGAACTAAGGTCCATTGAAATCTTTTCCTCAATCACTTCCTTACTTATTTTAAATAACTTCATGGATTTAAGACATTTTCAATTGTTTTGTGCCAAATCACACCCCACCGCCCCTTTTTTGTTGTTTTTTAAACAACCACTTACTCCTCTGTAAAGCTTTGAAAATAAAAACCAGTGGAGTGACAGAAAAATTAAACCATGAAAACTAACTTAGAATAAGAACTTTCCTCCTCCTGAATGGCTTACCAGGAAATTCAAGGGACATGTAGAGTGAGTGTATTTCCTAATAACTAGCTGTGTGCTCGCATACCACACTTCTATAAAAGTCTTGTGGTTGGGATCCCAGTGGTATTGATGGGAAGCGTGCAAAGAATTTTTATAAGGTGGTTTAAATAGCCGAGTAACTTCTTCTGAAAGCAGTAGAGTGAACAGTTCTGCTTTGGAGAAGAATGGTTCTGTGGATGCCTGAGATGATGATAATGTATGATGGAGCTTCAAAGTTAAATCCTACAAATGCGATTATCCTATAGAGGACTTAATGAAAACTTAATATTTAAAAAAATACACTTTCTTTTAACGTGCCACACTTGAGCATATCTATTGTCAAGCAGGGTGGTGTCTTGCTAGCCATGGTTATGTTCTAATGTGAGGGCCTAAAAGGCCATTTGTAGACTTGAAAGCACCAATATGTGACTGTATTCATCATAAAAGAGCAAGGTGATGTACACCATGTTCGAATACCAGGCTAGAGCATTGGGCTGTGGTGACGTTTGACAGCAGATGCTCTGTTTGTTTTCTCTTGCAGTTTGGGGCAGAGTTCAGAAGGTTCTCCCTGGATCGCTACAAGCCAGGAAAGTTTGAAGACTTCTACAAACTGATTCTTCACATTCATCACATAGCCAACCTGGAAGTGATGATCGGATATGCTGATGTGCATGGAGACCTTCTCCCTATTAATAATGATGACAACTTCTTCAAGGCTGTTTCAAGTGCTCATCCACTGCTCAGGGTTTTTATACAAAGACAAGGTAAGATGCAGTTTCATTTCAGTGCCTTGAAATGTGCTGGGGCAAGGTGACAAGTGGATTTGTGGCCCCCATTTAAAGGCTGAAATGATGTAAGAGGGACCTAGGAGCCCTCTCACTCCTCCTCTCAGGCCCTTCATTACAGTTTGCAGGAATGGCATGAGTTCAGGGCAGGTAGAGGGACTGCATTGCTGCCTGTAAGGTGTTTGAAGGATAATGTGCTGAGAATCACCATGAGCCCCTCTTCCAAGGGGAGCATATTTTGGGCTGCTGATATTGTGTCATCACTTGAGCATGCCAACTGCACCACTCTGCTTGTTTGAGGGAGCTGTGAGGAGGGAGGGGATCCTAGTACTACTACTTTACATTTAAAAAATCTTATCTATCCATCTTGATAGTGTCATACCCAAATGATTCATGCCTGTATAGTGTACGAATGCACACAGATATGTAGCTACTAAAAAAAAAAAAATTCTGTCACAAATGAGGTCTTGTTTGATTATGTTGACCTGGCAGACAGACAAATGATGATTGTCCCCTCTGTCCTTACGCTAAGGAGTGTTGAATCTTCCCATTTTGAATCATCAAGCAAACCTTGGGCAGAATTGCCCAAATGTCAAGATGACATCAGATTTAAGTGTTTGTGTGTTGTTCTTGTCAATCTTTCATTGCAGATATCCGAAACTTCTCCTTAAAGACCATGTTTGGCAGTTGCTTCAGATGAGGATTGGTTTTTATAACAAGATGTCTTCCCCACAGAGCTCCTTAAATCCCAGGGGGACCTAACACTGTGTTAACACTACCTCCACAGTTTTTTCAGTCATGTAGTGATTTATAGCACAGGCCTTTTGGAATTAAAATCTTGTCAGTAGCAGAGTCAGAAATAAAGACTTGATCTGAGACTTCGAGGAGTCATGTAGCTTTTTTGGCCTGGACTCCCTGCTGTGTGGGTGTTCATACTGATAAGGATTTAGCAGAAGGCTCCAGTCTGCTCATTGGTATGAACTGGTATATAGCACGTGGTTTGATTCGGTGTTGTCAGACATCCAGGACTGTGTGGCCCTGCCCATTCAGAGCATGTTGTCTGCCACCTTCTTTTAGACGGGAATAAGTGCTCAAGGAGGCAATGGAGGAGAGGGTCTAGAGCAGTTTGGTCTGTTTGTGTGTCTGTCAGATGAGCGGAAATGTCTGTGGGAGAGGACTTGTGTTGCTAGCTCTCCCTTCTTGTGCAGAAAATGCAAAGGTGGATGACAAGCCCTATTAAGTCTCCTTCCTGCAATGCATGTTAGGGCTTGTGAATGTTCATGGTGGGTCAGATCATGAGAAATCACTTGCATGACTTTGTCATGCCTGCATCAGTTCGAGTTTATTCATGTCTCTGGATCAATCCTGTTCAAAATGCAGCTGTCCTTGCTCTGCCTGGGCAGACTGCTGAACCCACTGAGTATCCCTAACTCTGCATTGGGAGCGGGGTTGCCACCGAAATGCTGATTGCAGAAGTAGGCAAATGAGAGAAAACTGTTGACTACGTGTGGAAAAAATGCTCCCTCCTCTTCTCCAGTAGAAGTATGCTAGTTGTGGAGGTTTATAACTTGTAACCTTAATGGAAAAGTGCAGTATTTCCTTTTTTAAAAAGCTTTTCTTTTACCTGTTGCTCAGTGGAAAGAATCACGCTGACAAGTAAGGAAGCTGATACAAGAGGGAAGACAGGCCCATGCCTCCTCATGTGTGGCAAAGCCTGAAAACTTTCCCAACACACATTCTTCCACACTCCCTTTATAAAGCTGAAGGGAACAGTAAATTCTGGCTCGTCCCTTTGATTAATGGCACCTTTAATAAAGGACTCCTGAAGTTAACATTTGAGATTCATACTTGTGGATGCTCCAAAACAATCATGTCCATTTCCTTTTCTGAGAAGAAGCCTTTAGAAATTTTTCCCTTCAACAATAATAGGAGTTACTGAAATCTTGTTTGTCTCTTCTTCCTTTGCTCCCCCGCTGTTTTCCCTGTCTTCAGACTGGGGTGACGGAGCAATGCTGGTACTTCTGTTGGAGACCTGTACTAAAGAACAAGGTGACTAGCACCAAGAAATCATTGTGCCATCCAGGAGAATGTGGTGTGCCTGCAGTGCTTCAGCTCACACCCTAAACTCTGACTTCAGAGGCAGGAAATTAAGCTGACAGGGATGCTAGTAAAGTATGAGGGCAGTCCTCCTCTGTGACTTTGAAGAAGACTGCAGAGTATGGGCTCTCTAGCCTGTTGGATCAGGGATCACTGCTCTTCGGTGGGAGAAGTCCTGGGAGGTGGCTGCCAAAGGTTGTTCTCGCAGTGTTGTAGAGTAGAGAGGGTTTGAGAGAACTGGGTTGGAAGTATGCAGGCATGGAAGGACTTAATAATTGAAGTTCAGGTCTTTTTCTAGCAGAGCAAACTGTTTATCAACTGCATGATTAGTCATCTTGTCTGGTTTCCCAGTTTATAGCTGGGTTATCCTTTCTCTTGTCAAGTGAATTATACAGTCATGTTAAAACAGCTTAACTCTTTGTTCCCACAGTGGCAAAATAGGTAACTTACTCTTTGCACAATAATCAAGCAACAATTTGCTATTTTGACTTTTGTTTGTCTAGTTGTTTTTCATTTGAGCTTAGTCTTGCACTTTTTCAATTCAAAAGCGCTTCCCTCACTTGTCCCCAGAGGCAAGCCATGTGCACGCTGCTTGGACTCTTACATGCCAGGTTGATGTCCAGGTATGGGATGGCTGTTTTACTCCACTTCCTCTTTTTTTTCAAGTCTCCTGAGGCCCAAATTTTTCAGGATCAGAGTAGCTGTTCCCTCCGCAGGCAGGGGATGTCAGGGCTTATTAGCCAGCCTTTTTACTAAGGACCTGAATTGCCATTCCCAGTGTGCTTGCAACAATTACTGTTCATAGTTTTGGGGGTCTTGAAGGCTCTGGGACGTTTGCAGGTTATATTTGAGTAAACTCAGCTATGGCAAGTTTTTATAGCTCATAGTGATCTATCTGCTGAAAGTACGAGGTGCTCTTTTCTTCTGTTTTTTTTTTTCTCCAATACCAAATTATGGTGCAGGCAAAAATCCTAATTAGAGAACCAGGCCATAAAAAGAAAAGGCAGTTTTCCTTTGACTTGCTTTCCCAGGCTGCAAGCATGGGTCACGTCCTGTGTTGTAAACTGATGTGACTCTTTTGACTTCATTAGCACAGTAGTGTTTTATATCAGCTGATGCTTTGAGCCCAACAATTTATTCACTTGGCTGTAACTGATACTGGACGTATCCAGAACTCTTTATGGGAGGTGCCTGCTGCTGGGGAAGGGACGGATGTCCCAAAGGCCTTAGAACAATGCAAGGAATTATGGATGTGTTTGACTTGCTCCATAATAACTGAACTCTTGTACTCTAGCCAAGACCTGCATGAAGGAAGAGCTTATCCAATGATGCAGTTGGTCATCATTTTTTCAAGACTTTGTTCTGTGTCTGATTTAAACTACAGCACTTGAGACAGTCTCTTTAATACTGCAAAAATATTTGAGTGTGAGCTATGAGTTCAAGCAGAAACAAAGAACAGGAAAACTGAAAGGAGTTAGTATTGCATACTGTGAATGCATTACGTTTTTCCTTGTATGATTAAATGGAATGATATTATTATCAAATCTTGCTTTAATACTCTGCCTCCGGGAGACAGGCATGTGTCAAACTAGGCTGTGCTGGAGACTCTTAAATAGAATGGAGTAAACAGCAGAATTATAATGACTTCTTTACTGTAAACCTGCTGAAATGACTCCTTGAACTTTGCGAGTGGGATATAAGGATGTAAGTGGAGGTCTACCAGGTAACAGAGATTTCAATATTTCTCCTCTTTTGCTTGGATTACCTACTATGCTGTGTTTAACCTAGGAAGTCCAGAAACTCAGGGCAGTGTTGCAAAATGAAAATGCTGATCACGCTGTAAGTACCCTGTGCAGCACTTTTTTTTTTTTTCCAAGGAAAAGAGGTAGATCAGGGCCAAGATGCTGAAGTACAGCAAGCATAGTGAATGGAGTGATATTTGGCTCTAATTCTAACTGAGCACACCACTGTAAATTCAGACTAATGATTCTGATTCTGGGAGAATTGGTGGAGGCTGCTGATGACCAGACCTCACTTCCTACGGCTCTTTAGGGTTTATAGAGTTTGCATGGGCAGTAACAGAAAATCTGCTGTAGCTCAAGTAGCAAAGGAGATGAGAGAGGTGGTGAGCAGCCTGTCAGGCCTCATCTTGATCTGAGGTCAAATGAACGCTTCTTCTGAGAAGCCTTTTTATTTTGTCCCCATCACAACTGGAGGTGTGTCCTGATGGTGATTTGAGGTTTTGGACCTCTGCTTGCTTTGCCTGAGTTTCAGCAAGTGGCTTTGTTCCTATACATCCGTAGTGTTGCTGAAAACATATCCGTCAGCAGAAAAATTCTCAAGGAAAACTTGAAGGAGTTAGGGTTTAGAGAAATAACAAACTTACTTAAATATTCAGGCAGTCTTGACAAGACATACAGTGTCAGTAGAGACTGTGATGGTGCACGTGGCTATTGTTTGAGTACAGCTGCTGTTGCTGTGAATCAGCAGGTATATTACTATTGCTCTTCCATATTGCAACTTCCATAAAAATAACAGTGAATTAATGAATGTGGGGGCACTTTGTCAATCCTAAAGCAGATTCTAGATCAAATTCACAATCTTTCCATCAATAAAATTAATTTTAAAGCTTTCTAAAGGTTTAAATTGTTTAATGGTAAGCGTCCTACAAGTAGGAGATGGGTGAAGTGATGGAGTGTCAGATGCTGGATCTGTATTTTGGTGTATCTTTGTCAAATATCACACTTCTTGCAGGAACGTAAAAGGCAAAAAACCTGAAGAAGCCGAACAGCATTCTAACAGCAAATAACCCTAAAACACTCTCTACAGCTGACTGGAGCAGGGCTTTACATAATAATTTAGTAAATGCCACAAATGAGCTG